TGTGAGAACAAATGCAAACCTATTCCTGCCCTCGTCTTTGCTTCCTTCGGGAAAATTACCCAAGTCTGGAGAGCCTTGCACAGGGAGCTGCCCTTCTGCAGCAACAAATTGTAGCAAAGCAAAGCATGCAAAGTATGGGTTGGAGATAGGGTTTCTTCCCCCTGTAATTAGCAGTTTAGGTGTGCTCCTGGCGTTGCTGCAAGAGGCAAACTCCCCGCTGGCAGCGGGGCTGTCGTCTGCGGAGCCGCGGGACTGGGATCCAGGGTCCCTCTGGCCATGGCAGTGTGAGATGGAGCCAATGCCCCCGTGCAGGAGCAGACCCGTCTAGCGTAACTGGGACTGTGGGGGGCCAGTCGGCCGCTGCCCGCTCTGTGACATGGTATGTAAGTAGCAAAACATGCAGCAACACCAAGGACAGTTAATGAAACGGTAACTGGGTGCTCTTCGTGTCCTGTGAAATGAAACTTCCCCAGTTACAGTGTGAACATGGCTCATCATTTTATTTTTTACAGGTTGAGATACTTTGCGAGCACCCCCGTTTTAGAATATTTGTGGATGGACATCAACTCTTTGATTTTTACCACCGTATTGAAACACTGTCAGCAATTGACACGATAAAGATAAACGGAGATCTCCAGCTTACAAAACTGGGCTGACCCTGTTGGGACTGTAGCATCCAAAGCGGCTCAGGTGCCACCGTGGGTTTGGAGGAGCGACAGCCGCCTCCGGACACAGCCGCAGGGGGAAGGCTGCCTTTCCTCGCGTGCCGTTGAACTGGGCTGCTGCTTGTCCCAAGGAAGAACATTGCTGGCTAATAGACACCGAGCCATGTTTCTTGGATCAAAATAGCTCACCTGTGCTGGATAATCAAATTAGAATGGATCCGGAAAGACTCGCGGTCTTTTTTCTTTTTGTTAATCTCGCAGAAAGGCAATTTCTGGAATGCTGGGCTAAAACCGGCTACCGAAGAGCAACGACAACAAACAACAAAGTTTTTCCTTTGCAAATACTGTTTCTGCACTGAGTGGAGTAGCGTAGCACAACACGGGGTCACGCGCCGAGCTCCTTACGCGGGGCTGTAGGGAGCCCGCTTCCGAGGAAACGGGGGCAAAATTCCCGCTCACTTTAATGGGGTACAATCAAACTGTCTAGTCCTTAGCCGAGCACAATTCCCGCCGATGCCCGTGGGGTTTTTGCGCATCCCTGGGGGCCGGATCTTCTTGCATAAATCAGCTTGCAGGGGCATTTTGCTGGTTGCTCCCACCCGGCCCACGGGCTGCGTTAAAAACTGCATGAGGGTGTCAGGACACGGCCTGTATATTTTAGTCAGGGTATTTGCATAGAATGTAGATCGTTACGAGGTTTTGCACAATGTATTGTTAATACGATTTTTAAAGCTTATCTGTAGTTTATTTATTTATACTCAGTGTATGTATTATTAGTAAAAACGAACAATATTACTGATGGTTAAGAACAGCAAAGCGTAAACATTTTGAATGTACAAAATGTCTTAGGTTCTTTTAAACTTAACATATCATCCTGGAAAAATCGTGTTTCCTATTGAGCATTTAGTTACATTTTAATGAAGCCCTCTAGGCCCTGGGAAATGTGGGAGTGCTGGTTGGTGGGGGCTGAGGGGAACTCTTTGCATATTCACTAGAAACTGTTTTTCAGGGCTTCCTAACTTTGCTGCGCAGGATAGGTTTGAATTAAGGTCAGTCTGTTTTTACAACTTAAATAGCAAATTTGTAGGC